TGGGGTATTCTGGGGAGGGTTAGGCGGGTAGCCAAGCAGGTTCAAGAATGGTTTAGGGGAGCAGGGAAAGGACACTGGTTTTGGAGTCTAAGGGGAGGATTTCCCCGTGCAAATGGAGTTTACATGATTTCAACTTCCAACCAGTGCAAAAGGAGGGAACACCCAAGCTTTCTTTACAAGTCTGTCGAGATGTGGGGCAGAAGGGTGGGGCTTGAAGACTGTCAGCAGCTAAGCATCATAAATGGGCTCAGATTCTTTATTATACACCTCAGAGGGTTATCGTGAAGATTACATGAGACTATACACATACAGACTTTAGTTCAGTGGCCAGTGAACAGTAATCAATGTTACCTTTTGAAATAAACATCATTCCTTAAAAAAATCACTTGATTTAAAAACTCACCAAAAAATGCAAGAATCAACGTCTGCTTTTTCCTTGTTCTATTTGTTTATTCTAGATGCAATTTTTTTAAAACTTCAATGTAATCTTTACATGTGAAGAAACAGTTACCAGCAGTCCTCCAGCAATGGAAAGGCCGTGATCTCAGAATTCTGTTTTAAATTGATTGTCGCTTGGAACACTTTTTCCCATAGAAGCAATGTTATAAATAGAACGAAGCTCCCTGAGGAATGCTCCAATTCTTCCTCAACTGTAGTATAGCTAAAACAGTCCTTGATAGAGCAGGAAATTCTGACTCCTACAACACCTGGACCTCTCAGACCCCAACTTCTCCTGGTTCAAGGTGACCCCAAGTGAGACTAGACCCTAAGATTTTGGGACTCCTGGGTGAGAAAGAGCTCGCTGAATAGGAGCTGAATGGGGCATGGTGTGGCTGATGGGAGCCCATCCACAACTGTGACTGTACTTCTCATGAAAACCTCCAAGTCAGACCCTAAGGGGATTGCCTTGTCAGGCTTTAGGGCCGACCCACATCCCTGCGGTTGGAATGGGGCTCATAGTTTTGAATGGAAAGGATGCTTCGACTCCCAGCCACTGGAAGGAGGGGTCAATCCAAATGCAGGACCTGAGTACTCCAGGTAGACCTTTGCCTAAGGTGAGCGGAAAATATGGTCTTATTTTCTGGATCAACTCTGAATGCTTAAGATGTACTTGTTCAGGATAGGTCTTCCCCCTGGATGATTAACGGTCCTGTGTCCTATTTGCTTCTGTGGCCCCAGCACCCAGAACAGTGCAGATATTTAGGAATCCTCTGCCAGCTTAATGACTAAATAAATGAAGTTTAGCATAGCAAACTCTAGGTGTAGAAGGTATGAGCAACAGTAAGAGCCCCTGGATAAAGTTGAAAATTTCTGAAAAGACTTGGTATTTAGGAGAACTGTTGGGGTATGGGCACTTTTGGCTGGAATCTCTCTCTGTATGTATACGTTTAACTTCTTTATGGAAACTGTTACACAAGAATGTATGTCTGTTTAACTGTAAGGTTTTTTGTTTGTTTTAGTAATCACCATCTGGCTGGAATTTTCAACCAAATTCATGTCAATTGAGCAGCACTATTTTTTAAAAAGTCGTTTTTGAGAGAATTTATAGCATACTTCACTGTTAATGTTCTCCTGACAACACACCACGAAATAAAAACATTTGATATTCCTTCTTTTAAAGCTATTTTTTACAACTAATTATTCATATAAACACGGCACCAAAATCTATTATTCCATTAAATGCCGCATGTTGTTCAGCCTTCTGGTAACCAGCGCTCAGTGGGGAGGTGACTCGCCTACACATTAGTAGCCAGGTTGAAATGCAATATCCCAGACCTTTAGTTCTGACTCTACTCACTCCCAAGGCTTGTGCCCCCCAAAGTCAAGGTCTAAAGAATGACCCTGGGAAAAGTGAGATCCAGTGTAAGAATAGAAGCACACAAACTATTTCCTCATCCTCAGGCGGTGAAGTCTGAGAGAGCTGACACTTCCTGGCAGATGGGAAGCAATCATTAATTATTTTTAATTTTATTGTTTTTTTGTAGGTTTCATGCCCAGCATGGAACCCAATGCAGGGCTTGAACTTACAATTCTAAAATGAAGACCGGAGCAGAGAGCCAGATCCTCAACCAACTGAGCCACCCAGGTGCCCCAATTGATATTGTTAAATCATTAAGTAGCTATTATTAATATTCCCTCTGGAGCCAGATTACAGGGATTTTTGTCTGCTGCAAAATCACAAGTGTCTCTTGGACATAATTGGGACTTAGTACTGTTGACTAGTAGTTCATATAGCTCATATATAATTTATGGACTCCCAGACTATCCTTACCTCATTTTCTTCCCTTGATCCTGTGTAAGTTCAGTTCTGCCCAACTCCTGACCCCTGACGGCCAAACTTCCACACTTACCTGGATTTCCTCGGATTGACCAAGATACTGTACAGGGAGTGTCAGCTTCCGGCTCTTTCCTGCCCTTTCACCTTTTTAATACACTCTACCACCAGCCTCACTGATACTTTCAAATATTTATCACCTATGAGGTAGGCAGTATTCCAGGCCTGGAGACACAAGGGTGAGGAAGAAAAGCAGGCTCCCTTTCCTTTGTGGGGCTAGGCTAAACTCACCATGGTATCTTTTCTCTTATTTTATTGAGACCCAGAGTTGAGAAGAGACAGAATGAGCTTCATCCAATGAAGGGGTTGCAGAGCCATGAAGGGTTAAAACCATGGCTAAACTGAGTACATGCTCAGTCCTGACCTCTTTGCAACACCCTTGTCAAAGCAAGGGGACCCCCCAGCCTCATCCCCATCACTAACACATAGACACACTCTCTGCTTGCCTTCCAGTGTGTCCTCCCTTTCACATCCCAGGGCCTAGCTATGAGCTGTCTAGGCGAGCATCATGACCACCATTTTCCACGGGAATCCTCTTCTGTGTCAGATCCTTCATCTTGACCTGCTAAAATAACAATCACAATGTTCTTATTCTTTATTCTGAGTCAAGCCCTGGGCTCTAGAACACTGTGGTTGCCCTAGAGAATGGAGTCAGGATGGCAAAGTTGTCCTCCTTTAGTCTAGTAGAGGATTGTATTTATTTTCTTCAGCATGCAAAGGGAAGAAGGAAAAAGGAGCTAATGCTCATTCTGTGTTTACTTATGTCTACAGTCAGCATGTGGCAGAAGTATTTTTAGACAGATGTAATGTGTAAAATGCAAACTGACCTTACAGTATGCATCAGAATCACCTGAAAGGCTTGTTAAAACACAAGCTGGACCTTGTGTGGGACCTCGCTGGGACCTCTCCCCTGAGTTCCAGAATCAGTAGTTCTGGGGTGGGCCCTGACAGTGTCTTCCTGGAGAATGCTGACTATGCTGGTCAGGAGACCATGCTGTCCTACATAATTCTACTGTTGCCAATTATTCCCTAAGAGCAATACTAAGCTGTCTCTGTATACTGGTCTTTTTGGTATGCTTGTAACCTTAAGTATCATGGAGTATGCTCCTTTACTTTCTATGCTGAAGACCTAATAGTTGCTTTGACTACCAGATATTCTTGAGAGCCCAGGTGAAGCTTCATTTCAGTCTCCTGCGACCAACACCCCACACCAGCCATTAACCTCCAAAATCACATGGTGGCTTGTTGGAAGTTAATTCCTCCTGAAACTCCACGATAATACCAAAATCAGTCCCCATGAGCTCTTTTAAAAGGTTCACCTCTACACATAGATTCCACTTTGTATTTCCAGATGTTTGGGTGTTTCAGAAGACACCAAAGCTTTACCACATCATAATTATGCCCCACGAGAATAATATACGTCCTCTACAAGTCCCTGGACTTTTCGTAATAAGCTTTGTACTTGGTAAAGGCTCCAACATTTGACTGCTGCTCTCTGTGTCCTGTGGGTGTGTGGAGGAGGAGACAGCAGGGTTTGCGTGATAAAAATAAAGTACTTCAAAGGCTGTAAGCTCCTTATAGTAATAAACACAATTTGAATATTAAAGAGGCGAAATTGCATGCTAATCACCATAGACTACAGTAAAATTTCCCCCAAACTCTGCGATTTTACAGAACAGTGGGAAACTAGGCACAGCTTTTACCAATAAATGTGTATTTCAAAGTTAGATGCCCCTGGTTGTCATGACTTGCCCAGCGCGCCTTTCCTCCAGAGACCCACAGGAAGCAAATGGCAATCTGCTCTAAATGTCATGCAGATGCATCACAAAGACACCGTCTAGATGTTCAGAAAGGTTATGTAAGGTCATGCCCTCATGTTATTTGTTATAACCAAATACCACCTCATTATTAGGTATTTCTATTTTTAACTTGATGCAAGTTTTTGTTGTTTTTGTTTTAAGTGGCCTCCAAGCCCAGTGTGGAGCCCAATGTGGGGCTTGAACTCAAGACTCTGAGATCAAGACCAGAGCTGAGATCAAGAGCCAGACGCTTAACCGACGGAGCTACCCAAGCATACCGATGCAGTTTGTTTAACTTGAGTTTATTTCGAAAGGAAACCATGTCTCTAACTGTAAATGGGAAATCAGTATCCCTTGCCATAAATAGGAGGTAACTCTGAAAATGTATACAACACATGCAAAACAATGTCATTAACTTCTAGCTTGATTCTCTTGCCTGCCAAAGTCAAAGATTTGCTCTCTCTTTGTTAAGAGGAAGTGGGGAGGGAAGAGAAGGTGTTACAAAAGTGTTAAAAAATACGTCAAAACCAAAATATAAAGACAAAACAAAGAAGAAAAAATAAAACTTAAAATAAGCATTAATACCACAGTGAAACCTTCTCTTCAACATAATCCTCACGAATGAAAGACTTTTAAACATAATTTTCTTATTAAATGTAATTTTCTTATGATGCGCTCTGGATTCCAAACCCCATTTTGTCCCTGGGTCATCCAAGCGCCCTGAGCCTCAGTTTTGTAGCTCAAAATGAGACAAGCCTCAGAGATTTAGACATAACATACAGGAAGCCCAGCACACAGTAGGTACTCAAATCATTATGGTCAACGGCCGCTTCTTGGGAGCAGAGAAAAGTCATGTCTTAACATACCTTAGTTCTGTGCTGGATGTAAGCACACACACAGGCTCTCTCTCGTGTTCTTGCTTCAGCCGAGGCGGGGCAGGCTGGGGGGTGAGGTGACAAATCACATTCAGCCATGACAGGTGATGGCTGGAGGGCTGAGGATATGAGGAATCTGCTCATCCACTGGGGGGTCCTAAGTAGGGGGTAAGGAGAGAAGGAAACTTCAAATCTGAATATCTGAAAACTGTAGGACAGTAAGAGAGATCACAGGATCCATTCCCCCCCTCAGGTCACAGGTCAGGACTCTGAGCCTCAGGGTGGTAGGAACCTGCCCAAGGCCCATAAGCAGTGACAGGCAGCCAGACCCAGGCCCCTCCGGCCACACTGTGCTCCTCCCACCCGGTGCCCTCAGTCTCCTCCTGAACCAGCCACTCCAGGGCCCTCATAGTTGCAAGACACTCAAGCCCTATAACCCTTAGTTCCCCACGCTGGGCTCCAGGATCTTAATTTCCAAAACAAGTATTGGCTTCAATGCGATCTACTAATTTGCTATAACAGTTGTAGCCTTTCTTAAAGGCCAGAAAAATGTGATCTTTTTTGCCAAACCCTGATTACATCAATTCTCCCCCCCCCCCAAAAAAATATCCATACCAAAGAGAATAGTTCCACTTAGGGCTTTGCTCTGTCTCAAGAGAATCAAAATTCCCTTGATTCCCTAGAGACAGAACTTGCTGGGCTGCCTGGCGTGGAAAAAGGCCTGGCCTTCTCAGCCCCCTCCTCACAGGAGAATGAGGATGAGGGGAACGAAACAGGAGCCTGAGCGACAGGTTAAAACCCCAGGGCGGAGTGGTGCATATAAGTTTCAGAAAAAAAATCAGGAATGGGAAGGCCTCACACCTCTCTCATCTAGAGGGGCCGAGAGAGGGTGCCTGTGGCCTGGGCAGGGAGACAGAGGAGAAATTTAGTCCCAGGACAGACAATAGCAGGAGGTGGTACTGGAGACAATAAAAGTTTTCAACATTAAATCTCATGCTCATGCTCATTCTGGGATCCCTTCTCAAAAAAGGGTCTTGATCTTTGGGATGGGGGGTGGGGTGGGGTGGGCATGGAGAACAGTATTTTCATACAAGGGTAGCAGGCAAATAAATGTCCACCAGGACCTGGCTGGGAAGGTAAAGGAACGAGACACTGGCTAGTGGGGATCGGGCTCACTGAGGGCACCTGGCCCTTTTCAAAAAGGCGGCTGAGGTGCATCTCCTTGGTGGGTACTGTGCCCGACCATGGACAGCAAATTGCCAGATGTGCCGTTATTAAGATCTTATCTACCCTTCCGCTTTCTGCAGAGTGGTGCTGGGCGGGTCTTCTTTGTCCGCCGCCTTCGTGTCAGGTTCTGCCAGTAGGGGGCACCAGAGGGCGCCGGGGATGGCAGGAGGAGGGCACAAGGGTCTCAAGGCCTCCAACTGGCTTGTTGGAACCACCAGCCTCACCACAACTGCCCCCTTCACCCCAGCAGCAACAGCTGGTGGTGGATCCCTGCTCTCCTCCCCCCTCCAGACTCAGCCTGGCTGCACCTGCAAAAGTACCAACAGCTGCTGGGGCTTGCTTTCTCAGGGGACCCCTGTTCCACAGACCCCCTTCTTCGAGCCTCTGGATTTTGATAACCCCCACTGGGTCCCTCCTTCCTCCAGCTCCAGGAGTGGGGGCTCCTTCCTGCAGTTACTACCTACACATCCCTTTTTCTGTCAGCCTCACCAACAACTGTCTCATGAATCCCCCTTATTAAATTCCCCCAACTTTGAGTCCCTCCCAACTTTTGTGGGGAAAAACCAGGACGTGTGTCTGAAGACCAGATGGAGCCTTGTAGCAGACACAGGGGTAGCCCCTGAGGCAGAGCTGGGGCACCCCCCTGCAGCTGCTGGGAAAGCCACTTATGGGCAGCTCCCAGCCCCCAGGAGCCCCTCCACTGAAGCAATCTGCCTGATGTGGGAATAATCCCCTTCCCGAAGCCTGGCCCCTGGCCTCTGTGTGGGACACCTCTGGAAGGCCATCCAGCTCCAGAGCTCCCTGCAGTCTTGGCTGAGACCTCTGGGTGGTAGCCCCCTTGTGGGTCAGCTTCTCCCCTGCCTGAGGACACCTTCTGCACTTCCTTCCAGGGTACTCCTTAGAAACCTGCTCTGTGCAGCTCTCCATCTCCGTGTCTGTTCCCAGGGACCCCGATGTAAATAAGCCAAGGCTGCTCTGGTTTGATATATAGAGCACGGCCCTCATTCAGGAAGCATGTGAAGACAGAGAAACACTTTATTTCACCAAAAAGCATTCGACTAGAACAAGGGAGGAGAGGAATGAGAGCCGAAGAGTAAGGACCAAGCAAAGAGAGGGAGAGTAAGTGGGAGAGTATGAAATATTAAGTGGAAATAAAGTAAATAGTACCCAGAAGCAAAGTGGTTATTAAGAGCAAAAGGACTTCCAGGGCGCCTGGGTGGCTCAGTCGTTAAGCGTCTGCCTTCGGCTCAGGTCATGATCCCGGGGTCCTGGGATCGAGCCCTGCATTGGGCTCCTTGTTCAGGGGGAGCCTGCTTCTCCCTCTGCCTGCCACCCCCCCACTCCCTCCCCCGCTTGTGTGCGCTCGTTCTGACAAATAAAATTTTTTTTTTAAAGATTTTATATATTTATTTGACAGAGAGAGAGAGAGAGTGAGAGAGGGAACACAAGCAGGGGGAGTGGGAGAGGGAGGAGCAGGCTTCCCACTGAGCAGGGAGCCCGATGCGGGACTCGATCCCAGGACCCTAGGATCATGACCTGAGCCGAAGGCAGACGCTTAACCGACTGAGCCACCCAGGCGCCCCTGACAAATAAAATCTTAAAAAAAAAAAAAAAAAGAGCAAGAAGACTTCCCTGGAGCTTGCCCCCAGCCCTCCCACCCCCTCCAAGCACCACAGCAGGGATCATTCCCCGAAGCTGAGAGGACACAGCAGCCCCCTCAGGCCTTTCTGTCTCCCCAAAGCTTACATGGACAGAGCAAGGGAAACAGCTGGGGACTTTATTTGACGACAACTTGAACTTGCTCCAGGAGCACAGGCCTCCCCACAGCCTCATGCAGGACCGAGGGCTGCACAGACCAGCAGCACAGTGACCTACGCTTCCCCCCGTGGAGCCCGGCTGGGGCCTCAAGTGTTGGGAGGTGCTGACTGAGTCTCAGCTCATGGTGTGGGGAGTGAAGGGCCGCCAGACTTCACCCCTTCCTGACACCCTGACAGGCTCGTTAGGAAAGAGAACCGGCCGTGTGCCTCCTCACCTGCACGGGCTGGAGCCCATAGTCTGGCTACTGCACTGGTTGGAGCACAAGAGGAGATGGGCCCTGTGGGAGGTCCGGCCTCGGTCGAGTCTGCAGGATGCAGTACGGGAACCGCCATGGCCTGTCCCAAGGCTTTTGGGCACGAGCAATTGTTTTTTTTTTTTAAGTAAAGTATGTCCCTTTCTTTTCCTGCTACCTCCCTTCTGCAGCTTGACCACGTCTGTCTGGTCAGCAGGCCAGTCAGCACAAGTCTGAATCACGTCCAGGGGGAGATGTAGGGAGGCAGGGGTCAACCACGCTGTAATATTTAACTAGATTACTTAAGAGCAACCGGAGGAAACTCATTTTCATTCTCAACTTCAAAGAAAGGCCAAGGTGATTAGGGTAGCATCCCCTGGGGACATCCTGAGGTACCCTGGGTTGGAGGGCATGACAAAGTAAGCAGAGCTTCGCTATCAGAAATCAGGGGCCTGACTTGTTAGCAGGCCTGGCACTGACAGGGGAGCAGAAGGGACAGAAAAAAGACAAATGGCAGTGTAAACGAGAGAGAATCACACTATTTCAGGTGTCACAAAGTCACATCTCTGAATGTGAGTTCTGAATAATACCCAGATAGGTCAACTTGAGAGTGAACCACTGTAGGAATCTGATTAGCCAGGGTCTTACTGTCAGATGCATGGCAAAAATCAGACTCTCTATGAATATGTATGCTTCTGTGAGACACAGGACCTTCAGCTGGGGCTGCCAGCCCTTATTTGGAATATTAAACAGGTCCAAACCTCCCAGAATATTTCAATTGGCAATCGGTTGTTCTTAAAAAAAAAAAAAAAAAAAAAAAATTGGAACATCACAAGCGGTCCTCATAATTAATCAAAGAAATGTCTTCTCGAACACCTCTTTTATCTATTTAAAAAAGAAACTATTGCCATATACCAGCTACTGGGTTTGGTGCTGTGGTTCCAGGGCAAAGAGATAAAGCAGATGTGGGCCTTGCCTTGATGAAGCTTATAGTCTTAGGCAGAAAAAGACCTTAGAACCTTAGAACAGGTAAACAATTCCAGTTATGCTGCTCTTTATGCTGGAAGAACCTTATTCTTATCCAGGAGCCAAAGAAGGACCTCCTAAGGAGTTAACAGCCTTCTGAGACTTCAACAAATAAGGGAGGTTTGATGCATTAAGAGATGATGGAAGAGAGTTCCTGAAAGGAAAAGCATTCCCAGGGGCCCAAATACGAGGCAATACTGTATGTAGGAAAGGTTGAGGGCAGCCCTGGATGGGAAGCGGGAGGACCACGCAAGGGAGATGGCTCAGGGACCAGTTAGGGAGTTCCTAACCCACCCGGTTATTGATTGGTAGCTTCACCCTTCAATTATCAGAGAAGTGACATGGTTAATAGGTCCCTCTGGCTCCAGCATCAGAACAGATTGGAAAGTGGAAAGGGCTAAGAGGCTATGGAAAGGTCGAGTTAGGTAGGGAGAGGACAGTGTTTTGGATCAAAACCCTAGCACTAATGGGGAAGCAGGAACCATACTTGAAAGATACCTTTTGAAAGAGACATAGGAGTGGAATAAACAAAATTTGGAGACAGAGTATTTTGGGTGTGAAGGGCCAAGAATGACTCCCAAGGTTCAGTTTGCCTGGGTGGGGGGTGGATGGTAGTGCCCTTTCCTGATGCAAGAAGCAAGGAGGGGGAGGAGGTTTGGAGTGGGTGGTGGGTGACCATAGGGACTGTGGACTGCTGAGCTTTCTGAGAGCACATGTGGAGTAGGCAGGGGAAGGTAAAAGTTGAGAACTGGTAAAGATACACAAATAGGAACAGAGGTAGAGAAATTTGAGAATCATAGCAATATGTCAGAGCACAAGGACTTGTGACTCTCAAACTTTCTGAAGAAGACCTACAATAAGAAATACATTTCCTATCACACAAACAAAAATTACCCTAATTCTTACCTCTGCCTTGTGTGATGTTCTGTGATACTCTGTTCTTTCTCCCAGTGCAGGTCAGAGGCTTCTGGGTTGATTTAATGACCTGTCAGCTGCTACTCTACAGTTTGAAAATTCTCATTAGGACAACGCCTGATGAGAACACAAGAGGATCCAAAAATAGAGCCTGGCCAGATTCTATTGTTCAAGGCTCAACTAGAGTAGGTGGTGTCTAGAAAAAAGAGAGGATCCAACAAAGAGGTAGGTTCTGGAAGGGGCCAGGGAAATCCCCCGTTACACTTCTAAGATGAATACAGCAGTTCCTAGAATCCCGTCCTCAGCAGGTAAACTCCAGAGCCCGGAAGGGACAAATTTCCACCTTAGGTCGCTTTACCAGAGCAAGAAACATTTCCTCCTCTTCTCCCCCACCCCAGGCTTCCCTTTTATCTCGTTGACCAGGATGGTTCACATGACTCGCCCCAAGCCAATCACTGGCTTAGGGGGTACAATTACCATGATGGGCTGAGGCTGATTAACAAATTCACGCTCATCCCGTGAGTCTGCAGAGGGATTACGCTCCCTGAACACAGCGTGGGTAAACACCTGACCTTTAGGGCTCTACCAAGGAAGAAGCTAGGTGAAGCAGTTACCCAGACTGCTTGCTAGTTCAAGTGTGGTTCAGGAGGGACCAGCAACATTGGCATCACCTGGGAGCTTTTAGAGCTTCGGAATTGCAAGCCCCACCCCAGACCCGCTGAATCCGAATATCCACGTTCTCGAGATTCTCAGGTGACTCGCATGGACCGGCAGTTTGAGAAGCACCGGCTGAGACAGCAGTAGGACCCACAGTGTCTACCAGATTGCATCCTGTTGTCCTGCTGTCTGTTCATTCCTTCTACCACTTGTTCTTAGGCCACAAATCCCAGACACATGCTTTGCAAGGTTTTGCTTAATTGACCCAACAGATCCTCTTTTTATTTTCTGCATAAGGAAGCAGAGCAGTGTTTTAGGATAAACACAGCGAGCTCCCGGCTGTGACCAACTCAAGCCATCAATATTATTCCTTCAGGTCACCCTGTTCTGTTCCCATAAGGTGTAAAATCCTAGCCCAGGGCTGACAACGTCCCTTGGCTGCTGGAAAGTTCTATATTCTTGAACAGCCCTAGGCAGGATTGGTGGGTTCTGTTTGTTTTTTAAATTTTGTTTGTTTCCTACTATAGTTCCTTTTACTGAGTCTATAGGATTGTAGACTTGAGATGAGAATTCCTACCTACAAGCAGTGGGGGTAACCCTCTCCCCGAGGTCCCAGCAGATCTGAAGGGTTGGGGCAAGCTCTCATTTAGTGACTTTGTCCAGAATTGGAGGCTCTGAGATCCTGAGACACACAGAGGGCCTAGAAAAAATTGCAGAGAAAAGACAAATTTAGTTAAAGAATTGGAGCATTGAACCTAAAAGGAAATGTTAAAAGAATCGACGTACCTTAGGTGAAGAAAGGAAGACAGAGAAGGCATTAAGCATATAGAATTGGATGACACTTTACTGAGGCTTAAAACGAACAGCTCTCTTCAGGAATTTTCATTCTTTGTTTAAAAAAAATAGGTGTTGGGGCACCTGTGTGGTTCCGTAGGTTGAGCTTCCAACTCTTGATCTCAGCTCAGGTCTTGATCTCAGGGTCGTGAGTTCAAGCCCCACAATGGGCTCCACGCTGGGTGTGGAGCCTACTTAAAAAAATTGGTGGGATACTCAGAATTTGACTGTCAAAGGATTAATGCATAGGCCTTTCTCAAATTGCTTCCTCCTCATTCATTCCTCCAACTTTATTGATCACCTGTTACATACCAGGCGCTCTGCTCTGACAGTGTTATTATTTTACTCTAAGTGGCATGAGAACGTACCCTTCTAAGAATGGTGAATATGTCAAGATGGCAATTCATTTGAGACAACATCGATTCATCTCAGAGTCTCTGAGATGGTTCTGATTAAATATAGCAACCTCAGTATAAAGGCACAGTTTCCTTATGTGGCGCAGACACTTCCCCGATCTGCCTCCAAGTGGCTTTTTCTGTCCTTGATTTCACTGCTCATCTTACCCACCTGTCTCTCCTTTCCCACCACTATACCCATCTTTGCTTGAACATGCCAACCCCTTTCACGCAGTTCCCTTAGTTGGAATAGCTTTCTCCCTAAAATATCCTTCGATGTTTTGAAACCCTTCAAGCTTTTAAGGCTCATCTGTATTCTTCCCTGCAAAGGCTTCTTGCCACTTAAAATTAACAAGGGAATTAAATCAATTAAAAACGAACTCTTTCCTCTATATTCCTCTCACACAATGCTTCTACTAGTTTGGCACTTACTCTTCTTTGCATTAAGGTAGCTTTTTTTTTTTCCTGTCTCAACAGTAAGCTTTCTAAGAGCAAAGACCATGTCTTATTCTTTGTGTTCCTCCCAGCACCTAGCTGCATAACTGTTGATACAGTTAGTGCTGCTCACTATTTCTATTAGAGTCTTCTGGGCCTAGTAGGTTTGCCCTTCTTGGACCCCTATGGTTGGTTAGAGACATGTAGTCCATTGTCACCACTGAGTTGTATGTAAAGCAGTGTGTGACCCCTTGGGCCAAAATTCTAATGACCAATGCAAGACCCTTCAGCGTTGCCTTTTCTCTTGGCCATTGTGACTGTGCATGTTTTGGAGAAGAGCTCCTCCCTCTGCTGGGATAATGTCAACTTATAGCAGAGCCCCAGCTGACCCATGATGGACATGTTGAGTGAACAAGAAATAAATTTTCATTATTTAAACTCACTGACATCTCCGGTTGTGAAGAAAAATTATGAAGCAAAGCCTAGCCTATGCTGAGTGATACACTTATAAATGGTAGGTGATCAATAAATACCGCAAGTCTATAATTTTTTTAAAAATCCATTAGAAAGAGCAGTTCATAATTTTATCAATTGTAACCTAACCAAGTAAAATTGCCAGCCTTAACGTCAGTTGTCAAGAGAAGCATCAGTAAGGTAAGATGAAGATAGGATATAGATAGATATAGATAGGATATCTAGGTAGGATAGATAGGATATAGATAGGATATGGAGCCAGCTAGCTGTCGGTTTGCAGACTGGCTCTAAATGACCTTGGCTGCTGGTCCTCCGCAGAATCAGCCTCCTCCAATCCCAGTGGGAGCATATATTTATCTTGCAATGTTGTTGTGAGAATTAAAGATAATAAATGAATGGTACCTGGCACATGGTGGAACTCAACACATTACAATTACAATTGTTTTAGATATGTTTTTCACATCCAGCCATGTGAAAAGTGAGAAATGTGAGAAACTATACATATTTCAATTTAAACCAAGTTATTCCCTTCCTATGGACCAGGGGCAAGATGTCCCTCCATCCTTCTTTCACTCGTCTTTCAAGAAATAAACAAATTTGGGCCCTTATTGATTTTTTTGGAAAAGTGTGGGAGGCTACTGTATGTGTTGAGATAGTAATTTATAATTAAATCTCAGTTTCTCATTGAAAAATAGGACTGGTTTTAATGAATTATTCATTTTTCTAGTCTGTACTAGACACTGGTGACTCACATTAAATAGATATATTGAAAAAAAAAAGAGAGAGAGAAATAAGACCCTGGATTTGTTTTTCAGTTTTTGTGGATAGAAAAGGGGACTCATCTGCTTGTGACAATCTCAGTTATATTTATAAAATTTGAAAAATTATCCTGGGTCGATGACAAATCTTTTCTGTGAACACAGTGTTGTCTTTTGCCTTGATTTCCAACACTCGCTCAAGTGTACTGAACTCTTCATCCCAATACACTTAAATAAAGGTTTCTAATACTCTGCATGTCACAATCCCCTGAGAACTTACTGGCATGGCATTTTCACAACTTGATTACACTCCTGGCTGTGAACAGACATAACTTCAGTCCCTCAGTGTAAACAGAGAATGACTCATCCTTCTGGGACAGTAAATAGCAACTTGGAGAGATGCACATCATCTTTAGACTTGTTAACCTGTAATGTAGAAACACATCCCCTCCGAAATACTTTATACATATTTTGATACGTGCTGAAAGAAACACTGTATTCCAAAAATAGGTTCTTATTTCTAGGGCTTTGATAAGAGGAAGGAAAGGCTGAACATCCGTATTTCCCAACTAGGATTCACTTGTGCACTAGAACCAAAAAGTAGGACAGGGGGAAATCAAGTCAGAAGACAAGAATGCCTCTATTAGTCTTCTCTGCTTCCAAACTAACCTTCTTTCCTGTGTCTCCCTTCATCTCCTATCCCAAGTCTCTGCTTTGGTTCTGACCTATTCAACTGAAAGACAAAAAAATCAGATTGAGTTAGGAGCACTAATAGAGCTACTACATGGTAGATATCTCAGTTAGTCTTTAGGATGACATTTTTCTCTGTCCTTAACGACCTTATTATTCAGTGCTGAAGAAATAAAGAAAATTAGTAATTATAGTCCAGCCTGATGAACTATGAAGGCTCATTCAAAACATGCAATCATGACGGGGTGCCTGGGTGGCTCAGTCGGTTAAGCACCTAACGCTTGATTTTGGCTCAGGTCATGATCTCAGGGTTGTGGGATCGAGCCCTGCGTCAGGCTCCACACTCAGCATGGAGTGTGCTTGAGATTCTCTCTTCCTTCTTTCTCTGCCTCTCCCCCCACTCACACACACGTGCTCTCTCTCTAAATAAATCAAGTCTTTAAAAAACAAAACAAAAATGTGCAATCATGAAAAATAATGTTTCCAAGAACATATGTTGTTCTACTGAAAATAGTAAAATACAAAATTACATAGATAGCCTGATCCTAATTTTGTAAATAATATCCACTCACGTCCTTATACACTCAGAAAAACTTGGGATCAGATTGGCAGACTGAGCACACCTGTCTACTTTTCCTCCCTCCCTGAATTCCACTGGAATGCCAAACAAGAAAACTTACAATCGAAGATCAGAAAATTTGACAATTTCTTGGAAAACACAACAAAGAAAATTGAATGGACAAAGCAATAAAAGCTTTAAAAAAGTCATAAAAAGGATACTACAAAGGTAAGAGCTATTTGTACACTAACTAGAGGAACTTCAAGGTCAGGGTTAACTGGTACAGTGTAGGGAGGGGCCCTGTCAATCATTATCTGGTCAATAAATTAAAAGATTGCATTACGAACTCCTGGGCCTTTCATGATCTGCCCACGTCCCTCATATGCCGAACGTCTGGAAACAGTGGTGTTTGCTTCCATGTTAAAGCCTCATTACTGCTTTAGACATTGAACCTGGGCCTGTCCTATCAGAAGGGCTGACTCTGGACAGAGAAGTAGAGCAGAACTTGATAACTCTACACATACAACAGTAGGAATCACAGTGGGAAGAAGTGACAAGAAAAAGAGAGTGTGAGATGCTTCTGATATGAGAGGTTCCTAGATCTCACATGCTGGGCAGAGAAACCTCCCAAACCAAAATCATCTACCTGCACACCTGCAAGATTCTACTCAACACACCCTTAAAGTTGGCTCCTATCATGAGAGCTTTCATTCGCTGGGATGATTACTGCAGCCATAAAATAGAAAAGCAGCCATGTGAAAGAAACACTCAGGCTTCTAGATTATGAAAAATATAATCATCATTCCTTAAAAACTGAGCTGAATAAACAAATGGGCACAGATGAATATTAAACTAATGAGCTGGAACATTTGGCTAAGGGGCTCTTCCAGAAGGCAGTGCAGAGATAAAGAAATTTCCAAAAGCTCCCACATCCATCTAAAGAGTTGATAAAGGAGGGAACAAAGGGAATAGATAGGACATGACAAAAAAAAAAAAAATCAGAGATGATTGTTGTTTAGTATTGAAGAGATATAATGAACTTGTGGATGTCTGTGTATTTTATTTGTTTCCATTTATTTCAGTTTCTGAAATTTTGGTGCTCAGATCGTCTCATCTTGGGCTGGTGCAGTGTTCCTCAACCGAGGGCCATTTTGATCCCTAGGAGACATTTAGCAATGCCTGTAGACATTATTGATTTCCACGACTAGGTATCTGGTGGGTAGACAGTGGCCAGGGTTGCTATTAAATACTGCACATGCACAGGAGAGTCCCTACTGCACAGGATTATTTGGCTCAAAATGTGAATAGTGCAGAGGATCAGAAACCCTGAGCTAGCAGAGACCCCTTCAAGGTGGCTCCTGCACCTCTTAGGCATAACTTCTGGAGTGCTCGTTTACTTCCTTGCTTTCCTGTTCAACATTACATCTCCTGGGTCTTCTGCCCGAGCCCTAGAACCAGCCACTTCTACGAAGATGTTTGGGTTTTTTGGTGGGATGGTCGATAGAGACAATAATCTGAGGATGCTCATTGCTGCTGGGTTGTCATTGTTTGCAACAGAAGTTCAATATTAAAGAAAATTTCATGAGGTGGAACCCAGAACCCATATCATATTTACAAGTCATTGACCATCACGCCAAGTGATGGAAAAGCAGGTCGTCCAATTCTGCCCTGCCTTAAGCTTCTGCTCTGATCCAAAGTGGCTATGGTCTCTTTTCAGTTTTCCACAGATCTGCAAAGAAATTACATCTTTTCTGGCTGATCTGTGGATTAAGTTGGAAGCTGAACTCCTTCTAGAATGGAATTTGTCTTCTTGCTTGGTCCATAGACATGACTCAATTTCCTCACTGAAACTTCACTTGC